AAAGAAACTAGCTCAGCTTCGTATCCAGAGTGTAACTAGCAGAGTGCTAAGTGGCTAAAGAAGACTAGATTCCCCCCTAACTCTCTCTTTGAAGCTATTTACCCTTGGGATGGCACCACTGATCAGAGACCAAAAATAACAGGTTAGGGAAGCAGACAAACCTAGGCTACTTTTCCCCTTCTCTTTCAAGACCAAATTATAATCTCAAAGGAATAATAAAGACTGGATTTTTAAAAGGTCTAGTTATATGCTGTTAATAAAAAACACACCTAAAACATAAAAATACAGAACGATCAAAAGTTCAAAAAAAAAAAATAGAAAAAGATATGCAAGGGATTTACCAACCCAAAATAGCTGAAGTCATTACATGAATATTAGTCCTAGTAGACTTTAAGGTAAAATACATAATTAAAGTTAAGTGAGTCACTAAATAATGATAAAAGGCTATATTCACTCAAAAGAGATAAAAACTTAATTTTTTATGCATCTAATAACATAAATTCCAAATATAAAAAGTAAAAATTGGTAATATAAAGAGAAAATGACAAATCTGCTATTATGGAAATTTTAACACATCTCTCCATAATTAGTAGGTCAAGAAGGTAAAAATCATAAGAATACAGAATACTTAAATAGCAAAATTAATAAACTTGATCTAATGGCCATATATAGAATACTGAATTCCCAATTGGGAGTTTACACAGGTTTTATAAGCACGCATGGAACATTTTGGAAAACTACCCACAGTAAAGGCCATAAATGTCTATCAACAGTAGTGTCAATTAAAAGACTGTAGTATATGCAAGGACACTTCAAAAAGTTCATTGAAGATTAATATTATTTTTTTAATTCTATTTTATCATAAACTTTTTGAAGTAGCCTTGTATAATGGGTTACTATATTATACTATATAGATTGAAAATGAACAATATATAATTTCATGTATCAATCTAGATTAAGCTGAAAAGGCAAGATTAAGTAGAAGAAAGTCACTGAAGAATATATATAGTATGGTTCCATTTATATGAATTTCCAAAACAAGCAAAACAACAGATATTGTAGGAGTATATACAAAGATGGTTAAAGCATGGCAAAAACAGAGAGTAGCTGTTTACCTCTAAATACAGGGAGAGAAGAAGTAGATATGATCAGGAAGGACACACTACGGGCTTCCAATGCTGTATTTAATAATCTTAATGGGGTTTGTTTTATCACTATTATTAAGCTGTGCATATAGTTTCATATTATATGTTAAACACAAAATATTTGTTTTAATTGAAAACATACATACAGAACCAGAGGCCCCAAGCCATCTGTGCCAGAACAGGCAGGTGCCACGCTGTCGGACACCCCCCCCCCAGCCCAGGCCAGTCCCCCCAGCCCAGAGAGGC